ACAGCTAGGGCCATGGAAGAATTCTTCTGGCTACTGCCTCTTGAAGAGATGGATTAACTACATTGACAGAAAAACCCCTTCCATCAGGGTACATTATGGTGCTACAGTGTCACTGTAGCCGCTGTCATGTAGACATATCCTTTGAGGGAGGAATGTCTACTACAGTAATGCTTCACCAATATCATTTCTTTGCAATGCAATTTTTAGGGTGCACATAAGATTTGATAATTAACCTTACAGGGTTTTCTCAACCACTCTTGTTGCTTTTCCATCTCCGTTCAGCAGCTGTGCTCTGCCAGTTGTTAAGCACTCCATATATGTGGTTACTATTCTGAGGATTTAGAGGCTTGAGCTCCATCTATTTCTCTTTGTTTATGTTAAAGAGGAAATGTAGCCCTAGATAAAAAAGGCAGACAGGCTGAGCACCTGGGAAAGTGCAAAGTATAATGATTTCCTAGAACTAAAACCTTTTTGTGTTTTCAAATGGAAAACAGTACATCATTTCCTAATACAATAAGCACAAGATTTTTCACTGGTTTTAGAAAACACACACATGGCTTGTGTACCAGAATTAAATAGTAGTGCAGGATTTTGATCAGTGACAGATGGTTGGGCTGCTCCAGCACAGCTGGCCTTACATGATATAACACCTTGAGCAAGCCCCAGTTCTGCACTTATCCCTTGATTTTTATCTCAATCCGTGAAAAATTTCCTTTGGTATCTCTGCTTAAATTTGCTTAATCGGAGAATAGAAGTGGGCTGGTAGATGGAGTAAAGAATACAGATATGACATTCATGATGTATTTTAAAAGCATTCAAAGTTTCTGTGTGGGGTGGGACTGCACGTAGGCATAGGAATGAGTTTCTACAGAAGTAGAGTGAAACACTGACCCGTATCTTGTAATGTAGTATGTAACTCAAAGGACAGGTTTGCTTTCAATGTGGTTCGTAAAAGGAAGCCTGGGAGTAAAGCTGATACAAGTGTGAAGACACAAACAACATGGCTATGTCATGTTTTACTGATACATTAGAAACAAGAGGATAACCAAGTACAGGGTAGGCCCATTACTCAATGAGGGGGCAAAGAAAATAACAGAAAATGTAGAAAAGGCTGAAGCGATATATGATTTTTTTGTTTGTTTTCACCCAAAAGGCTAGTAGCAATTGGATGTCTAACATAGTGAACGCCAGTAAAAATGAGGTAGAATCTGAGCCTAAAATAAGGAAAGAACAAGTTAAAAATTACTTAGACAAGTTAGATGTCTGCAAGTCAAAAGGGCCTGCTGACATGTACCCTAGAATACTCAAGGAGCTGACTGGGCAGATCTCTGAGCCATTAGCAATTATCTTCAAAAACTCATGGAAGGCAGGAGAGATTCCAGAAGCCTGGAAGAGAGCAAATAAAGTGCCCATCTATAAAAAGGGGAAGACGGCAACCCAGAGACTTAACTTCTGTACCCGGAAAGATAATGGAGCAAATAAGCAAGAAATCAATTTGCAAACATCTAGTAGATAATAAGGTGATAAGTAAGGCTGAGAGTCTCTCACTGAGGTCACGGAAGTCACGGATTCCGTGACTTTCCAGGACCTCTGTGACGGAACCCAGGGCTGCCCGAGCAGCTTGGGTGGCCCCGGGGCCAGCTGCACCACCCCCACCCGGCAGTGGCGGCGGTTCCTGGACACCCTCCCCACCAGCAGCAGCCCTGGCGGTCCCAGGCCTCCCCTCGCCAGGAGTGGCAGCAGCGGTCCCGGGCTGCCCTCCCACCCCCAGCACCAGCGGGCATCCAGGAGCCTCCCCCCAGCACCAGCAGGTGTCCAGGACCCTCCCCCCAGCACCAGCAGGCGACCCAGAGGCCTCCCCCCAGCACCAGCAGATGCCACGGAACCCCCAGCACCAGTAGGCACCCCAGAGCCCCCCATCCACAGCAGCAGCTGTGCCCCCGGAACTCCCCCCGAGCACCCAAGATTTAGTCGGGGTATATAGTACAGGTCATGGACAGGTCACGGGCCACAAATTTTTGTTTATTGCCTGTGACTTGTCTGTGACTTTTACTAAAAATACCCATGACTAAATCTTAGCCTTAGTGATAAGTTATAGTGAACATGGATTTGTCAAGAACAAATCATGTCAAACCAATCTAATAGCTTTCTTTGACAGGGTAACAAAGAGATGGGGGGAAGCAGTAGACGTGGTATATCTTGACTTTAGTAAGCTTGTGATACCATCTTGCAGGACCGTCTCATAAACAAACTGGGGAAATGCAGCCTAGATGGAGCTTCTGTAAGGTGGGTCATAACTGGTTGAAAAATAGTTCCCAGAGAATAGTTATCAGTAGTTCACAGTCAAGCTGGAGGAGCATATCGAGTGGGGTCCCACAGGGATTGGTCTTGGTTCTATTTCTGTTCAATGTCTTCATCAATGATTCAGATAATAGCATAGAGAGTACATGTATAAAGTTTGTGGACAATACCAAGCTGGGAGGCGTTGCAAGTGCTTTGGAGTATAGAATTAAAACTCAAAATGATCTAGACAAACTGGAGAAGTAAATAGGATGAAATTCAATAAGGACAAATGCAAAGTACTCCACTTAGGAAGGAACAATCAATTTCACACATTCAAAATGGGAAATGACTGCCTAGGAAGGAGTACTGTGGAAAGGGATCTGGGGGTCATAGTGGATCACAAGCTAAATATGAGTCAACAGTAGAACACTGTTGCAAAAAAAGCAAACATCATTCTGGGATGTATCAATAGGAGTGTTGTGAGCAAGACACAAGAAGTAATTCTTCCACTGTACTCTGTACTGATAAGGCCTCAACTGGAGTATTGTGTCCAGTTCTGGGTGCCACATTTCAGGAAAGATGTGGACAAATTGGAGAAAGTCCAGAGAAGAGCAACAAAAATGATTAAAGGTCTAGAAAATATGACCTATGAGGGAAGATTGAAAAAACTGGGTTTGTTTAGTCTGGAGAAGAGAAGACAGAGGGAGGACATGATAACAGTTTTCAAGTACATAAAATGTTGTTAGAAGGAGGAGGGTAAAAAATTGTTCTCCTTAACCTCCAAGGATAGGACAGGAAGCAATGGGCTTAAATTGCAGCAAGGGAGGTTTAGGTTGGACATTAGGAAAAGCTTCCTGTCAGGTTAGGTGAGCACAAATTGCCTAGGGAGGTTGTGGAATTTCTGTCTTTGAAGGTGTTTAAGAACAGGTTACACAAACATCTGTTATGAATCGGCTAGTTATTACTTAGTCCTGCCTTGAGTGCAGAGGACTGGACTAGATGATCTGCTGAGGTCTCTTTCAGTTCTACACATCTAATATTCTATGATCTGAAGCATGGCCATGCAGTGTAACGTCTGACAGTGGTACTGGCATAGCTAGATTTCATATTATCCTATCTTCATATAGCTTACAAATAGAAGTATGTTGTGTCTATAGGGAAATAAAACCCCCTTGGAATGCTCTGAAGTGATTCCCAACGTCTGATTTTAAGAAACATGTACAGCTGAGGTGAGGACAAACTGCTGGTTGAGAATCAGGGCAGGGAATGTTTCATTGACACAAAGATAGAAGCTGCTGCTGTGACCGTTCATAGATGTCTGTTTCTGGTGAAAGACTGAGAGAAATTCAGTTAGATAAGAAACTGACTGGATCCCTTAACTATTGCCTGTGAACATTTTGGATGGCGAGAATTAAAACAAGTCATTTTTTTAAAGTCATCCTGTTTTTCCACATCAGGAATGAACAGATTGTTTGAAGAGGTACAACCTATAAGCGAGTGGGCGTAGTTACGCCATGAGTATTAAAGATGGATTTGATAAAAATGTATTCTTCTTCCCCTCAGGGATTGAAGGTTGTCTACAAGGGCACAGACATTATTTACTGGCTGGGAATGAATGCAGCATTTAGGGAATTTGAGCTGTCTTGTGACATATGCCATTCCTGGACAAATGACCCATCCAAAGAAACGGTTCATCTGCCAAGGAACTTTACAGATTAGCAGCAGTGACTGAGTGAATGTACAACCGGTACACAAGCTAAGTACTGGCAAAAAACTTGAGTTTTCATAAGAGACACAAGCAGAAGGTGGCCCCAGTGTAAGCGGAAACATAGATTATGAGAAATGGACTAGTTTAGAGAGAGCCTAATAATATGAAGAGTGAAGAATCTTCATATTATTAGGTAAATGACCAAGTTATGATGAACATTTAACAAACTGCTCATTTAAAGACTGTGTACGAGCTGGCAGTACACACAAGGTGGTTTGGTTTTGCTTTTCTTCACTGATGGTTTGCTATCAAATAATGTTCTGAATTATATTGTAACAGTGGGATTTTCAAAAGCATGTAGTTTTGGTTTAACTCTGTGTCCACTGAAGTAATGGTAAAACTTCAATTGATTTCAATGATGTAGTGTTAGGTCAGTGTTGAGTGTTTTGAGAATCCCATCCTAAGTGACTTCAGAGCAGTTATTAAAGTAAAATATTAAGTGAAAAAGAGCTACTGCAAAACAATAGGGTCTCTGGAAATAGGAGAATACCATTTCCTTTGGAGGAAAAGGGTGTGGCAATATGGATTACAATACTTTTGATGGTGGTGTGTAGGCTTCTTGCTTTGGTGCAGGTTTTACTACACTTAGGGCTTTTCTGACTAATCTAGCCACTTAAAAGTTCAGACTGGTTGTGCTGTTACATAATTCACTCAGAGTTACACCATTTACTTCTCCTGAACTGCCTGGGTAGTTAGGAATCCAAATTAATAGGACCCCTCCCAGCTTAGGTTTGCCCCAAGAGTATCTATCAACTGTCAGCCTCCCACCTCCACTAACCTTCCCCTACAGTGAAAAGTATCACAATAATATACTAAACAAAATGGATTTTATTAACAAACCACTCAATAGGTTTAACACAACAAAGACATGAAGCCTGAACCCAAACCTCAAAACAAGAGTGGACAACAAGTATATAAAGCCCATAAACACAATACTGTATCCATGCAGGAACCAAGGTGAACACACCAGACGGACCAAGAACCCTGAACTCTCTGACCAGGAACCATCAACAGGAACCTAGAGCCACTGCTCAGGAACTCGCCATCAGGAACAGCTCCGCCAAAGACAGGATCAGGAACGATGGTAAGTCACACGGGTCTTCTCCTTCTCTGACCTTCTTCAGTACTAACAGAGCTACCTCGACTTTCCCTGAGTCCTGTAGTACTAACCAGCTAGCCTTGCTTTCCCCTGATGAGACTAGGGTTGCCAATTTTGGTTGGACGTGTTTAATCACATGACATAATCTTTAATTAAAGATTAATCTTTAATACCGGGAGACTCCAGGCCAATCCTGGAGGGTTGGCAACCCTAGATGAGACGTAGATACAGGCTCCCCTAGGATATAGATTTTCACACTGATTACTTGTCCTTTCCCACTCTTTCTGGTTACTGGGCAGACTTGTCAGCAGTATCCAGTCAGATTACAATATCTGTTACTTACACAACCGCCTAAAGAATTTCAGACAAAGCTGTGACTGTCCAATCAGGGACAAGTACTTGGAAAAAGGTGCTAAATTGGAACTAAGGGACAACAAGTAGCCTGTCCAAGATGAAGAACAGAGGAGGGTGAGAATACCCAAAATGGCGATTTGCTGTTTACAGTGCTGTGTAATATTAAACACCAGAACATTCCAACTGCAGGCAACTTTTACTCTCCAAGAAGTTTATTCTCAATCCCAACTTGGTGGTGGGTGTGGTCCTTCATATGTATCCACCAGTTACTCATGGCACTGCCATCGTTACTAGTCACTACTTCTACCTAAGCAATTATCTTTGATTGGATAAAGAGGGGGCTCTTTAAATAAAGTGGCCTAATGGGAGCAGCTCTTGCAGGTAGGATTATGGAAGCTTTATGTGTGATGTGTATGAGTAGGGGATCCATGTAGTTCCTTGCAAGGAGACTGGTTTGAGAGCTCATGCATCCTCAGCTAATGTGGAGGAGCAGTTCTGGCCCAATGCCATGTAGAGGAGGAGGTGGCTGTGTGTGTGTGTGTATTTCTTGTAGAGTATGTATAAGCCACACAGGAAAAGACACACTGTTTTTTAAAGTAGTAGATTCCTGCAGAAGTGGAGTCCAGTTGAAGAGACACAGATGGGATTTGGGGGCAAAGGAGCTGCAGAACTGGCAAGACTGGAGCAGGACAAAAAGTAACAAGTGGCAAGATTCAGGAGTTGGATGTACTATAAATGTAAGTCTGTTTATTGGGAATGGGGTGTATGTGTGAAAACAGAGAGAACAAAAAAACGGAGAGATGAGACACAAAGGGACAGAAGGAGATGCAGGGAAAAAATTTCAAAAGTTGGTTTCTCCAAAGGGTCAGAGAATTCCCCATTACAAGTCTAATTTTCCACACAGTTTTGTGGGTGAATGCTTCCTGACACGTCCCTGCCCGCTTCTTGCCCTCTTCCACCTCCATGTTGTCTAGGTGGCTGCAGCACTCACCTTGAGCAGCATTTCTAATGCCTCAGAGTGGAACTTTTGTGTATTACTCTCCAGGCCCTGCAAGACCAATAGGATTCTTCCCTGTCTGAATGAAGCAATGGGGAATTTGAGCTCCAATTTTTATTTCTGAGCCAGGGCTCCTATCTTTGAGTCATGCTTCAACAAACACTCAATTAAAAGAAAAAAGATAGCTGATGGAATCTATCCTATCACAGCATAGTAGAAAATAGCACAGGGAATGTTTACTGAGTACAGCTCCTCCTCTGTAGTACTAGGAGCATGTGGGAGATTTGTGAGCCAGTTTGGCCTATAGCAAATCAAAACTGAAATCAGAGGTTAAACTTCTGCATTTTTATCATCAGCTGCTATAAACTTGCCTAGCCTCACAAAAAGTAACTAAATAGAGTACACAAAGGAAGAAGCTTCTCTGGAGGCAGATATGCCCAAGGGTAATATTTTTGGCATTATTCTTTCCAAATGAGAAGTCAGAATTGCTTTTATTAAATACTCACAGCTCATGGCTGTGATCTAAAAAAAAAAAAAATTCACATTTATTTTCCTGAATACAGAGGTAATCAGAATTCAGTCAAGTGGGATGACTCTGTGAGTCCTGACATCAAAGGGCAGTACTGTTTGATTGATATCAGTCAGATGGCAATATTGTTTGAAGAAATGTAGTCAGAAGACTGGCAATTTAAAGGCTGTAAAAAGTTACAGGAGATGTGAGTGCAGTGTTCCATACTGATTTCCAGTGTACAAGACTATGTATTAGAGAATTGGCAGTAACATGGCAATCTTGTCTCTCAGACACATACATCCTTTCAAAGGACAGAGAGGAAGAAAATCTAGCTCATAGTTTCCAGGCAAGCTATTCAGTGAGGCATTAAAAGTACTGTAGTAAATAATTTTTTCATTGTTTATGTTATAGGCTACGTAAGATTGGGTTGCACATTTTGGTTAAAAATTTATAGCACATACTACTACTGAACGTTAATAAGCAATGCAGAAGTTTTTTCCTTGGTACAGGTTTATTTGAAGAAATGTATTGATTGAAGTTCCTGCATATAGAGAATTTTAGAACAACAACTCCATTACAACTTTCTGACAAATATCAAGAATTGGCTCTATAGATAAGTAATTTTTCTTCTGTTTCCAACCTAGGAGGCCTTTTAAAGTATAAATAATGGTACCCTGTCTCTTAAGTATAAATAGTTCTTCTGCTTAATATGTTATGTCTCAGTAACAGCGCTGTTCTGCATAATCATTATTCCCTACAGGTTTAAAAACAATGCCAAAAACAAACAAACAAAAACCTACCTAATGGATTAGAACCCTCTAAGCAGAGCAGGGAAACAGAAATTGGTACAATTTACTTTAAAACATTTTTACTTCTGGCAAAATGGACCAATATTCCATCAAAAAGATGAGAAAAGTAAAAAAAAAAAAAGTAAGTGGTACAAATAAGACATTATTATAAGAAGTTGGCAGAGTAGCTGAGGAATAATGGAAGATAGAAAGACATAGGATGTGGGGGAAAAGAGTAAATGGTTATTTTAGAAAAATTGGTTGATACAGCTTGAGGTAGGAATGCAAAACTGAATTGTAGGTTGTAAACATTGATGTTCAGTGTACTGATTTGGGAGGCAAAAGGATAGAAATTACTGAAGGAATTCAAATTACATGGTGTTCCTGCTACTTAAATAAGGGAGATACCTAATAAGAGCACAGTGCTGAGGTAGTTTAACAAAAAGCCTTGATTAATAAGCATCAGTCGTCTTCACTTGATATTTCATCTTTCTAATTATATGTATTTGAGACCAGCATGTAACCTTCCACTTTAGCTGTGGACTGCTCAGATGTACAGTAGATTGTTAATTCAAACCGAGCCACAAACAAATTTTGTTTTAGTTGTGTGTGTATATATTGCTAGAAGAATACTTCCTAAAGATTGTACAGTAGCTTCCTGCAGTCTTGGTTTGAGAAATTTATCCAGTCTTAAAAAAATTGTCTCATGCTTTTATATGTCAGTTTCACAACATTTATGGAAATTTCATTTATGTTACCGTAAGTAGGGTTGAGTGAAATGGTTTGGATAAAATAAGAATTGATCGATGTTTTCATCCTAAACTGAAAGTGAACCCTTTTGTGAGATTCAAAGAAGTTCAGATAACTTTAAAATATTTATTAATATTAATAATAATACCTAGCTCTTACATTTAGCTAACCACCCAAAATTTGAGTATTTAATTTGATCCTACTTCTAATGTTTTTGAAATTCACTATTTATAAAGTGCAATATCTTGATGGAATATAGCCTTGTAGGGCCTGATCCTGTAAAATATGAATGACTTTGGGAAGTGCCGAACATCCTTAACTCCCGTTGGCTTTGATGAGTTTTGAAGACACTGAGTAATTCACAAGATGGGGCATGTTTTGTTCTTATTCAGATATGCTCTTCATTAGGGAACATGAGGACAACAAGGTGGTCCAATGGTTGGGCACTGAACTAGAAGTCCTTTATATTCCTTGGACAAATCATTTTAACTGCTCTGTATTTCAGTTTCTCTCACCAGTGATCAGGAAGAGGGAAAGCATTATATAAATACTACTATTTGTTGTTCAAGACAGCTGCACATTTACCTGCCCAGATCTGGAAGTCAGAATTTGAACTACAAAGAGATTTTAGTGGAAATTACTGCAGTTTCAGACAGATTACTGAAGCACAGTCTGAAGTGGAAGTGAGAGGGGGCATTTTAACAACATTTAAAAGCTTTCTAGAAGTTTGTATGATTTTCTGTGGGAGTTTAGGGCATTCATATGTTCCCTCTCCCCAGATAACACTGGTCTACAATTTTTGAGAAGTCGTCTGCTTCAGAGATAAAATGTGCTATTTATTATGTA